GGATGACTACACACTATTCTGCTTGTTTGCAGAATGTGATCCGGTCAGCTATGAAGAAGCTGCTCAAGAAGATAAGTGGAGAAAAGCCATGGATGACGAGATCGAGGCAATCAAGAGAAATGACACATGGGAGCTCACTACCTTACCTGAAGGCCATAAACCAATCGGAGTAAAGTGGGTGTACAAGACAAAGACAAATCAAGATGGCGGAATCGAGAAGTACAAGGCCAGGCTTGTTGCAAAAGGCTATAGTCAGCGAGAAGGAGTTGACTATGAAGAAGTGTTCGCACCAGTCGCGAGGATCGACACCATCCGACTCATTATCGCATTGGCAGCACAGAACCGGTGGAAGATCTACCAGATGGACGTGAAGTCTGCATTCCTGAACGGCTACTTAGAAGAAGAAGTCTACATCAAGCAACCACCAGGGTACGAGGTGAAGAATCAAGAAGACAAAGTCTACAAGCTGAAGAAGGCATTGTATGGACTGAAGCAAGCGCCCAGAGCATGGAATGCCAGAATCGATGCATACTTCCAGAAGAACGGATTCCATCGGAGCCCGTATGAGCACTCTCTCTATACCAAGAAGAAGGATGAAGACATCATGATCGTATGTCTCTACGTGGACGACATGATCTTCACCGGCAACAATCCGAAAATGTTCGAGGAGTTCAAAAAGAATATGATCAAGGAGTTCGAGATGACTGACATTGGAGAAATGTCATACTTTCTTGGAGTAGAAGTGTCGCAATCAGAGAAAGGAATCTTCATCTCTCAGAAGAAGTATGCAAAGGATATCCTTCAGAAGTTCAACATGAGCAACTGCAATCCAGTCGCAACTCCTGCAGAAGTCGGAGTGAAGCTGAGGCGAGACACACCAGGAAGCTATATTGATCCAACTCTATACAAGAGTTTAGTCGGGAGCTTGCGCTACCTAACCATCACCAGGCCCGACATAGTGTTCGCGGTAGGACTGGTGAGCAGATATATGGAGGAGCCAAGACAGGAGCATTTCAAAGCAGCCAAGAGAATTCTTAGGTATGTCCGAGGAAGTATTGATCAAGGATTATTTTATACACAGTGTGCAGATTCAAGATTAGTCGGCTACACCGACAGCGATTATGGTGGAGATTTAGATGAAAGAAAGAGCACATCTGGCTACATGTTCAATATCGGATCAGCAACATTCTCATGGTCATCAAAGAAGCAGTCTGTCGTCGCTCTATCAAGTTGCGAAGCAGAATACATAGCAGCATCGACATGTGCGTGTCAAGCAATATGGCTCAGGAGTCTGATGAAGGAATTGCAACACCAACAAGAAGCACCGACAGAGATTCTCATCGACAACAAGTCAGCTATTGCACTTGCCAAAAATCCGGTAGCACATGGACGAAGCAAACACATAGAGACAAGATATCATTTCATCCGACATCAAGTTAAAAAGAAGACTGTGATGCTGTCATATTGCAAGTCTGAAGACCAAATCGCTGACATCTTCACCAAGCCACTAAAGACAGAGACATTTTTGAAGCTTAAGAAGAAGCTTGGACTTGAGAGAAATGAAAGTTGGTGATGAGGGGGAGTATTAGAATTCCTCACCAACTTAGATTATTCTAGAACAACTTTCTAGAACTTCTTTCTAGTAACATCCTACAAAATATCTACCATGAAGTTTCTAGGAAGATACAAGTGTATGGCTAGTATTTATTCTTCTAGAAACTTCTTAGTAATGTATGGCTAGGATTAACTCTTCTACACACTTCCTAGCCCTCTTAAACAACTATAAATAGGGGTCTTGTGCTCTCATTTGGGCAAGCAAGCAAGCAAGCAAGAAGTAAGCTTGAAAGCTTGAGTGTGTAGTGTAGCCTTGTGTGAGTGTCCACCAAAATAAAGGAATTGTGTGAAAGTGAGGTGTTCTTGTAAGAACAAGTGTTGTATTCTCAAGTGTTCTATCAATAAAAGTTTCCTTTGTGTAGAGTGTTGTGTTCTTCAAATTCCATCAGGTGCACGAGGCGGAAGGAGGGGAGACGATCGTGGCGGAGAGTTACGCGGTGGACGTGCCGCCCGGGAGCACGAAGGAGGAGACGTGTATCTTCGCGGATACGATTGTGAAGTGTAATCTTAAGTCGTTGGCTGAGGTTGCCGTAAGAAGAGCTCGGCAGTCTTCTTCTCCTGGGTGAGAATGTAATGCGACAATATATTATATATATATAGTTTAAAAGTTTGAAATAATATATCTATTAAGTTTATTGATGGTCACTTGTCGGCATAAAGATATTTTTCATGTCTAGTTTAGGGAAGGGTATGTTTGACAACCTCCTAAAATGGGACCAGACCAGGTTGATCCTTGTCTAGTTTTGAGGGTCCATGTTTGGGAGATAAACTGAGACGCTGTTAGCCTAGTTTTTTTTGCTAAGGTAAAAATTAAGCTTCCTAAAGTCGGTTCTATTTTGATCCATGGATCAAAACAGAAACAGTTTAGCTTAGCTTAAAACTTGAATAGAATCAATTCAGTTTCGAGGAGTTGCAAACTGACCCTAGCAATAGTTTCAAGTTAGTTATAATTGGCTAGTGGATTAACTTATAATTAGTCATATGTATATCAACCGTTAAAGAGTAACTTCAAGTTTAAGCTCCACAGAAACTCTTTGGCGCATATAGCTTGCCGTCCCGTACGTTCATGGGCTATTTGGGACATGGCAAAGTACACTTTTCACATCAAAAGATCAAATGTCCTTACTCGGCTAGAAAAATATGAAGAAATCACACTCCCAAAGTGTGTGATTGGGTAAATCTTTCTATAAGTCAATACTACCAATGATCGTCTTTAGATATGACATAATGATCATCCTAATTAATAGAAGTGTGAGTTTGGACAAATATTTCCATGGTCAATATTACCGTTGACGCTCTTTAGATATTACATTGTGACCCTATCCTAATTAGTAGAAATATCTTCAATAGGATACATTACATTGTAATCTTATCCCCAAAAGTAATAGAAATAAAATTAATAGGATGTAAAGTTATAGATAGATAATTGTACAAGAGTTAGCAAATGACACTCCATAAGAAAAGGATCAACTTAGTTAAGATTTGTATATGAAATTATTAAAATTTGCTTACAGATAAAGTATCTTTGTTATCACCATGAAGCAGATGTTTAAAAAATTATTCTTATCTAGTGCAATATATCGTATGGTAATCATAAACTATTTCATAAACGAGTCACAGTAAAAATATAAATCCAAAGAAACGATTAAAATACTTGATCGCTTGCAACATCCCACCTAGTGAAAACCCACTAATAAAGCACAAAACAACCAGTCACCAAGCTTACCCTAGCTAAGCTTGTCAAAATTTGGATTCTCAGATTAAAACCAAATCAAAGCCAGAAAGTAAATATTGTATATGCACCAAATGCTAACGGACATGTAGACGTAACGCATAAGAAATTTAATATAATGATGCAGGCAATATACACATGATCTGAGAAAACATAAAGTGCACATGATTCACATGTATTGTTCCATTAATCATCTGTCTAAACGTAGACGTACCATAGCATAGCATGGATGAAAATATGAATGTCACAAATCTAAAAAGTTTTCATGATCGCAAGCCATACATCCATCAAGAGTATGCCTGATAGAATTGCCTTTCCCCGGTGTATGGTTGTCGCACTTGAATGTATCATACATTCCTGTGTTCGGTAGATATTAATTCAATTCCTCAATGAAGCATGCCGATTATAGAATGTGGAATACAAGCTGTGTTCGTTAGGGTCCGTTTAATCCCGATTAGAGATTTGGATTCTCTCCGGCAACTAGGTATACGTGGGAGGATTCTTCTAGATCTCTAAAAAGGGGTTTAAGAACTGACCACATCTTCCAAGTTGCAAGCGAGCAACACGGAAGGGGACGCCCCCAATTCGTCTGGGACTAGTCTAGTGCAAAACCAAAGGGTAACACTCTGATTGCAGTGTTTGACCGAGACTAGATGAAGCCAAACTGTGTGTGTGTGTGTGGAGCTCTCAATTGACTAGATGAGAGCCAATGGTGGGTTCACCAGGAATTTGACGGCTGGAGTCTATCCAATGTTTCAAGATCAGTTTTAACGGTTGATCTTAGGCTTCCAACAGAAGATCTCAATGAACCTATATATGACTTGCATAATTTTTAAAATTATGGACCTAAATAGAGTTTCTACGTTCGGAGAAGTGATTTCCAGTGACCACACCCTAGCACCTGTGGCACCTATATCTCTAAAAACTATCTAAAAATTTATAATAATTTAGCCTTGATCATGTTTAATGAGAAACGTCGTTTCTGCTGCTGTGGCACTGTTCATGGTTGATGATGCTAACAGAAAGCCATATGTTCATCTTCCAGGCTATAGTGGTCCGTACATCCTCTTCCATGAAAAGGCATCCAACAAAGGAAAAGAGGGGGGCGGTGATCGACTAGAGAAAGATTAAGATAAGTTTTGTTGAAAAAGAAAGGATCTGAAAGAAGCAATTAATAAGTAAAATCAACACCAAGAAGTGTAACAATTAAGCCTAGAGTCTAGACTTAGGCGCAGGATGGATGAAACAAACAAGTTTCAAGGGATTCTGCATTGATCAAATGTATCACCCTTGAAAAAAAAACTATATTTTAAGTTTTAACATCGTAGACAAACCTAGACATCGTCCTAATTCTTGTGTTTATGAACTTCTAAGCAAGACGGAAGAAATAAAAGATACCTCTTTGGAGAAACTCATGTTTAAAGCCATTTTCGGCTGCATGGTTGTGTTGAACAAGATAGACATGACAAGACAATGACAAGACACTGTTACAGGGATATACAACACCTTAAAGGATTTATGAATATAGATACATAGTATGTGTGCATGTGTGCGTGCCCGTATATAATTAGGATAAAGGCGTGTGCATGTGTGCGCGTCTGTATACAAGTAGGATAAAGCATGTTATACTCACAAGGTTCATAATAAAAAAAGGTACTAAATACGTGATCATATAAAACAATGAAAACTAAATATATAAAGCTCCACCAATAATCTCAGAGTTGGTTCAAGGACTGATATGTTTGGATATGATTACAGTTACTAAGTTCTTGAAAGTGTTGATGCAGACACATGTAGGATACAGATGCAACAGCCTCCGATGAGTATCAATGCACATATTTTGGCAAGCTTCCAGTTCCAGACATTCGACACGCATCGGAGGCAAAACATGCAACTGCCTTGATACACATCAGAGTTAGCTAAACAGATTAAAACAAAATTCAACTCTCGTAGGGATACAGACCAGACTTAATACACATAAGAAACCGAAATGTCAGAAGTTGATACATATACTATAAGTTTCAATGATGATGAAATTGACTAAACAGTTTGAACATACCCATTCTTTGAGGTCTCATTATTCACTTCATATGACATTAGCACCAGAATAGAACATACCCACTAAACAATTTGACAGAAGGAAAAAGGTACATGTCCGAGGATCACTTACAAAGGAGACTGTGCATAGACAAAACAATTTGAACAGAAGCATGGTTAGCTAGCTGAATCAATGCCAACTAAAACTTAAAAAACAGTCGTCAAAGTGGTTGTCGCTGGCTGAATTCAATTTTTCTCTATTCAAAGGGCATCTCCTGTGTCTATATATGTTAACAACTACCACATTCTTTCTGCTTATTATGTCGAACCTCGCCCTTTCCTGATCCTGAACTGAGGCTACCTCTAACTTTTAACAGGTCGCTGGTTTATCATATCACGTGTATTGACAGTCACCTATTAGCATTCTCATTTCGGCAGAAGCGAGTGCACTAGCATTTCAGCTATGTTCATATGACCTTATCAAAAAGGAACTATGATGTCAGACACACGCAATATGCGGCGTATCTGTAACTTCTCAAACTAAACAGGACATTTTTCTATAGTTAGTACTTCTCCAGTAGATAAAGATGGAACACATTATCCTCATCAATTTGGTTCAGCCTGGAATCATATCCTTGACACACAACACCGTAAACTTGGTAACAGATAGAGCTGAAGTTAACTAAACAGAAGTAATTCAATAACACTATAGTTTAGATTTACAACCATATACGTATGTCTACAAGACTGACTCAACAACTATCCACGAAATTGTTCATATATTCTTCCTCAATTTATCAAGACTACTAAAACACTTGGTTCACCAGTTTGTGCGTTTAGAACTTGAATGTGGTTTTGGTGATTAAATCAATTTCCATAGTCCACAGCCTCTCCAAAATGAATAAATCAAAAGATAAGAAATTCTTGGAGTACAGAGCAGATGGAGGCTCAGCCAAATGTGGTTCAGAATTGTAACCAAGGTAACCAGCTGAAACTACGAAATTACTAACACTATAACGTTTATCATCCAGCAATAGGTGTCATCTTCTTCTCAAATAACTAGGCCACACGTAAACTATCATACTCACATCATGCCATTATATGAAACTATTGAATTCACATCCATCCTTATAATCTTCATGCTTGCAACCGATAGACTTCTTAATTTCTCTGTGCTGTAAACAATTTACTGTAACATCGTTTCTAACCCTTCTCTCATTTAACCGTGTCATTTAAATATAATAAATACACCTAACAATCTTATCTTTAAAACAAGTAAAACGCTTTTAGCCAAAATCCCGAGTCTTACGAATTTGGATCTGCTTAATTTTGTAGGGCATGTTTGGATTTGTAGGGGGTGAAGGGAAGTTAAGGAAAACTGAGTGAAGGGAAGTGAAGGGAAGGGAAGGGAGTTACCTTCCCCTTGGTTACACCCCAATTTGGGGGTAACAATTTTTATACTATTAGGGGGTGAACCAAGGGGAACTAGGGTGAATTAACTTCACCTCCTAAGTGTTCCCAAACAAGGTGAATGGAGGTGAATGGTTCCCCTAACTTCCCTTCACCCTCATTCCCCTCAATCCAAACATTAGTCTTGCATACAGACTAAAGTAAATTGGTTATATAAAAAGTTGAACATACATCGTGTGGTATGTCACAACGTCAACCTTTCAAACCAATGAATTTACTTCACTTTCTATACAGGAATCATACAAAATTAAGCAGATTCAAATTTGCAGAACTCAAAAAATTTTGAATTTCAAGGATTTTAATCACCTACTTCTGACAGTGATAAACAAGTGGAATCAATATAAAATAAACCAAATCATTGCCAACCCTGCCGCTACAATTTTGGCGGTTTGGTTCTTGGTTTGTTTACTAAGATTATGTCCGTGGATACTGAAAATTCAAAATTAAAAGATATGCAGCTATCGATCAACACTTGCCAAATTGAAAACATACTCCACATTATTCTATAAATTAATTTAAAACGACCAATAATAAATAAAAAAACGAGGATTAAAATGCTTCTGGTGCCAAAAAAACAGAACTAGGATTTGGAATCTTCACTGATTGTCAAGGGAATTTGAAGCAAATAGGGTAAATAAAGCAGAGGATTTTAGGGACAGACCTGATCTCGGTGGAGCTAGAATTTTCTCGATCCGTGATCAAACCTTTGGCTTCATCATTCACCGCGCGCCTCTTCAGGATTCTCAAGCGCCTTTCTCTGTCTCTTGGAATTACAAATTGACGCATTGTTTTCCCCCAAATTGCAGTTTATACCCTGAAATGTATCCAGCTTCGGGTATGGATCAAGTCTAGTAGTTTTCAGATCCGACCCGGCCTGGTAACATCTCATACCGGCGCTATCACGTGCTACTAGTCATCCAGTAAAATAATGGGTTTTTTAGTATTAGTCCCTTAATCTTCAATAATGTCAGATAAATCCCTCCAAAAATTGCATATTAGTCTCTCAAATCTTGAAAATCACATATTACTCCCTCAATCCTGTAAGGTCTTGCATAGTGGTCACTCTATGAGTGTTTCAGTTAAAAACCTAATTATAGTCAGGTTAATTCCTAATTCAAATCCTACAAGGTCTTGCAAAGTGGTCTTTCTGTTAGTATTTTAGTTAAAAAACCCAATCATTATCGGGTTAACTCCTAACTTAAAATCTACAATAACATAAGTTTGGGTTTTTTTTAAGCAGGTATTAGTTTAAACCTACTAGGAAATGGTTAGAGTATATTATAGAGGGGTAAGATGGTTATTTTGCCTATAACTGCTAGATTTAACATAATATTCCCCCTAAATCTATCATGATTTATCTTGAAGGGCTGTCTTGCAAGATCCTATAAGATTTGAGGGGCTCAAACGCAGTTTTAAAGATCCAAGGGACTAATATGCAAATATTGAACATTAAAGGGACTAAGACCGAAAAAATGGCCTAAAATAATTTCCCGCGTCCGCAAACCTACCGACAGTAATAAATCTGACTCTTCTCCCGGGTCCTCACACTCCCCGTGTTCGAAAAAATAAAATAAATAAATAAATAAATCCCCACTGTAAATTCCTTCACATGATACGAGTCAAAATCCATGACAGAATTCTACTGATCGAGTAGAAAAATGCGACTCCACCAAACCTCAACTTCCCACTTCCAATCCTTCATTATCTCCTTCAACCATCAAATTTTAGGGCTTCTTCCTCAAAACCCTGGAATGGACGACAACACGCGTCTCGATTTCGACGCCCCGCTCCTCTCCGTCCCCGATCCGCATCCGAACCCGACCCGAACACGAATCCTTCACGCTCCGCGCTTCCCTTCTACAAATCGGATCTCAAATCGGGTCCGGTCCGAAACCCAGGCGTCGTCCCCTTTCGCTGGGAGCAGTCCCCGGGCCACCCTAAAGACCGCCCTCGCTCGGTCCGTACCGTCGTCGCTCCCAAGCTACCTCCGGGTCGGGTCTTGGTCGAAAAAGAACCCGCTAACCCGTTAGAAGATGAAAAAGAAACGTTCTCGGTCGAGAAAGAATCCTCTAAGCCTTTGGAAGATGAAGATGAAAAGTTCTGCGATGCGGTCGAGACGCTATCGCCGACCGAGTCGTCGTTCGTGAATTGTAGCGTCAGCGGGCTGAGCGAGATGCCTGAATCTTCTGGAAGCTTCTCGACGGATCCTCAGGTTCGAGATTTCATGATGGGAAGGTTCTTGCCGGCGGCTAAGGCTGCGGACGTGGCTAAGGCTATGGCTGCGGACGTGCCGCATGCTTCATCGAGAAAGCCAACCCCAACACCAAATTGGGATCGAAATCGGGTTATCATTCAAAATGGGGATCAAAACAGGGTTAGGTTTCCGAATGGGGCGGAGTTTATTGAGGAAGATGAGGATGATGAGGATGAAGAGGAAGAAGAAGAGTATTATGGTAATGGGAATTTGCTGTTGAAAGGGTGTGGATTGATTCCGAGGTTTTGTTTGAAGGGTTCGTTGTGTTTGTTGAATCCGGTGACGGGGATGAAGGTTTCGGGTAGGAGATTGCCGCCGAGTTCTGTTCGGAGAAATTATGTGCCACAATTTAAGGCAATGGAGCATGAGTCTTTTGGGCAAGTTGAAGAAGAGGTGAGATTGTGGTCAATTTTGTGTTTTCTTTTAATTCAGTTTTTCATGAAATGTTCTGCATTTTCTACGCCCAACTGAAATCCATCTACTCTGCTGTCCTTATCAAACAAATAGAATGAGGGAATGTGGCCATAGGTTATGAGTAGGGCTGTTAATCGGTTTGAATGGTGCGGTTAATAGGTGACACTGAACACCAAACCGATCTATTTTTTCGGTTCGGTTCGGTTTGGTTTTTCACTTATTTTTTCATAAACCAATTGTGTTCGGTTTAGTTCGGTTTGGTTTTTCTCTGGTTTATATCGGGTTTTTTCGGTTATTCTATAAAGAAAACAAGTCTAGAAAAGTAGAAAGTAGAAATGTCTCATATTACATAACCGTTTCCGAAAAGAAAAGAAAAGAAAAAAAATAAAAAAAAAGGCAGCCCACAATTCCACATAATAGTTTTCGAAAAGAAAAAAAAAGCGATGAAAAACTAGAATAGCAGAAACATGTAGATGATAGATCAGCACTTCAAGTTCAGCAGCAAGCTCCTCCATGACCAACATTTGGGGAAAGGGAAAGCTACAATACCACGTGACAGAAGGGATTTCTTCGCCGGTGACGAGAGAACCCAAGATTTGGGGCCAATGGACGGGAGAACCCTAGATTTGGGGGCGATGGACGAGAGGGGACGAGACGGAGCGCGAAGGACCAAAAGCTCGTTGGGTTTGGGACTTTGGGGGCGATGGACGAGAACTCAAATTCTTAGAAACCCTAGAAATATAATTAAAGTCTAATGTAGACTATGTAGTAATGTTGGAACGCATGCCAAGACCATCCTTTTTTTTTTGCTTCATTTAAGCCCAAGTTTGAAGTTTCTACATAAAATTTTATGTATATTAATAATATATATCTATAAATAATATAATTTCCTTACAATATATATAATCGATTTTTCGGTTCGGTTTCGGTTTCCAAACATCCGAAACCAAAACCACACCAAACCTTTCGGTTATTTTTTTGCGATTTGGTGCGGTTTTTTTCTTTCCTTGGTTTTTTTGGTTATGGTTCGGCTTTGGTGTGGTTATTTTTTCGGTTATCGGTTTTCAAGTTACAGCCCTAGTTATGAGTCGCAAAGTCTCTACAACAAAGTTTCAATGAGGGTTGATGGTTATAATTTTATTCTCTAACATGCTCTTATAGCTCAAGACACTCTTTTCGTGGGCCAAAACCTGGTCAATTTTACACAGTAGTACCTCGGTTTCTCTGATAATATCTTAATAATCACTTATGCTGCACTAAAACTCTAAAGTTGTAGTGAAGATTGAGGGTTACGATTTTATCTAACGGGTGAAATAAGGAACCTATGCTACTTAAGTACTCTGAATTCTTTAAGGTTGTATTGATTGTTTGTTTTATTTTATTTTTAAATTAAACATATCGGCAGTACTCGTGGGAAGCAGTGTACAAACACAAACTGCTACATGGACACATGCTACATGGACACAGTCCTATTCAAGAGGAGGACGTCAGTAAGCTAACGAGTGAATCCAACCAATTTACCTGTTGGAGTGATTCCTTGACGACTGATGGATCATCACCGCAACTCTGTTCTCATGCTACTGGAGTATCTCCTTATCGAAATGAGCCATCCCAATCCCCGTTCCATGAGGGCAAGGGTTTTCTTGGAGTTCCAAGGAGAGACAAAAAGTGTTTCAAGACTGGTGTGTCCAATTCCTTTGAGAAAGACTCAATGAGTCTATATGGATCAGGCTCCGTAAGTCCTTCAGTTGAGAGAACTCTTCAATTCGATTCAAGTTCAAAATCAAGCTCTCTTCATAACTCTTCAGATATCAAAGACAGAACTAAACCAGATGATGAGGATTCTCAGGTTGGCATACAAAGTCAGAGAATGGATGAAATTCTTGTTCTAGAAACTCGCGATAAGTATGAAGATAACAATGACTCCAGATCAAGTGATAGGGATGATGGACAAATGCTTTTAAGAGGACAAATGCTTTTAAGAGAAAATAATCAAGTGAAGAATGATCCTGATCCTATGCCATCTCTCCTTTTGTTACCATTGCCCAATTCTCCTTCTGAGTCATGGCTCAGCCGCACCTTGCCTTCTGTCTCATCAAAGAATCCATCTCCACAGTCATTTTTAGGTATTCATGCTCAGACAAGGAAACAAGCTTCTACTTTGTCTTCGACGCTTCCTAAGAAGGATTTATCTATTAAATCTTCCAAACTGAAGTGTGGCCAAACTCGGTTTGCTGATGTAAGTTTTGTAACTCTCGTGCCATCTTTATGACATTTGGAGCTGCTTAAAGAATTTAGTTTCTATGTTTGCAGATGCTGTCGACGCCTTTATCCCCAAAATCAGAGATTTGAGATGGCAGGAGGTTCTTCTTATTAACTGGCATGCTAACAACCTCCCTTTGCTCTCTTTTATTAAAGTAAGTTAACATTTAGTGAGAATATTTACGGTTATCGTAAAGTCCTTTATGGTTGTTAATTTTATGATTCTGCTGTTATAGGTGGTGAGAACTTGTCCAGTTGTTCCTGTTCATAGTCTTTTGTGATGGTGGAGATGTTACTCCTCCTTTTATGTATGTACCTTGAACCAAAATTGCACACGATGTGAGTTCAACTGTAAATTTTCAATTCAACACTTCAAACACATTCTCATCTTTTTGCTTCTGTAGCAGTTAGACCATCATTCAACTGCAAGCTATGTGGCTTGTTTTTTGATGTTCTGTAACGCTCATGTATAGTCTGTGAGATTATACTACTCCAATAAAAAATTTGTTAGTTATAGAATAGCTTCGGAATTTTTTCATTGATATCTATCTTATTCACATTCTATGTTACATCACTCCGGCCTTTTTTTATTTGTTTTTATGGATGCTTATATTTATTTTCTTATATGTTTGATTAATGTGTATATGTATGTAAACTTTTTAATTCCTTAGGCATAATGATCCTTCTGAAGCCATTTTAATCTAGTATAACTTAATTCATGACGAAAATTTTCTTATGTGTTGCTTATGAAGTGCGTGAAATGGTTTTGAACAAGTCCATGATTATTAACATATTCATTCATGCACTTACTTTTTTAGGAGTTTCAGATTATTGCTATCATCTTTTTATTGGCCTACTTTGTGCCTCAAAGATGAATATGGTTCCCTAGACAAAGTTTGTTTTTCTGAAAGAAAGAGTAGGAGAATATTAATCTCCCATTTCCTTTTGCTACCTTAAGATTTAGGTTCTTTATTTTTCAAAATCATAGCAATCACAGTCATACTTCATCAAAGAACATTCTCTGTTGCAGACATGACTCTTAACATCAGACTTCTCATATTACTTCAATTTGATTTTTCCTCTCAGAACAACTAATTGTGAAGAGGGTAGGTTCCTATTTCTTTGAGATTAATAAAATTTGTTGTTCCACTAATGAGATTCATCAATTATTATAGGACAATTAGAGGAGTATTATAAACCTTTCTTTCTGTTGTTTCTGACAAATCCTTGGTCATGCTGATTTCTTTTAACCAACTTGATTCCTTTGTTCTTTCGCTAAAGTCCACTATCGTTGTTATTAGGCTAACTAATCTCTGTGTCATGTTCAGGTTATCAATAAAATAAAATGACTTAAATATAAACCTCTGATCGGAATTATAGCTGTGATTTGAGCATAAAAATGTTCTAATTTGAGCATAAAAAATGTTCTAGATGGGTCAAATTATAAGGGGTAATTCTCATGTACTTTCTGTTGTATCTTTGCAAGCTGCAGAGAAAATTTTGTTTGTTAGTCTCCCCTTGAAGATTTGATATGTATTAGCTATTCAAGATCCAGTTATTGAACATTTGAAGTTATTGATGGAGTGTCTAGGATTTACAAGTTTCACGATTTGGTTGAAGAGTAATAGGGTAAGGGTTGGAATTTGAATCTTAGAATGGGTTGATCCATATATTATATTATATATATATAGTAATATATATTATATATAATATATATATATATATATACTATATATATATGAAGGAATATGGGTAATACTGGGCCAAGGATCCTGTGGTAGTGAATGGTGACACATCTTGTCATACATCCACACCTTGATTCGGTGAGCTCCATCTTTCTAGGTGTTGATGTATGGACAAGATGTTCGCACATCACTACAAGGATCCTTGGTACCAAGTATACCATTTTGCTCTCTCTCTCTCTCTCTCTCTATATATAATATATTATATATATATAGTATATATATATATATATATATTTATTATCATATGCTTTTGAATCATCAATCAATGGAGGTCACCAAGAAATATAAGGCAAAGAGAACAACACTGAGAGATGATTTATTGATGGAGATCTTATGGCGACTGCCCGTGAAATCTCTCAGCAAATTCAAATGTGTTGAAGGCGTGGCACGCAACACCGACAAACACTATCGAAACAAACTACCACTGGAATGTTCTACTGGGCCGATTCAAAGATAAATGCAGTGTATTTCAGCGTTCAGAGCAGGCGACATCAATCCGTAGAGAGGATGATGAGTTTCCTCCGACCTTACGGTAATTTAAGCGTCTTGTATTCTTCCAATGGACTGATATCCTGTGTTGTTGCTGGGATACAGATTCAAACTTGGATCGCCAGCTTTACGTCTGCAATCCTGCAATAAAGAGGTGGGTTGAGACTCCTCGAGCTGGTCATCAGTACTACACTAAAGCATTGGCCTTTGACCCTTAGGGATCCCCTCACTACAAGGTTATCACAATTTCGCTTTTCAAATACGATGGCGACTTTTACGTGGACTTGGGGATATCCTCTCTCATCTGAGAGGGGCGAGTGGGTAGAATTTCATGACCTTAAAGCTCTTGATAACCTCTGTTCTGTAGAAAAAGATTACCCCGTTTTCTACAACGGGAGTATTCATCTATTCGATCATAGTAGCTCAGTTACAGTGGCAGTCGATCTCGAGAAAAAAGTATGTCGAAAAATGGAGGTTCCACGGACGTCTGAAGAGGAAGTTTGCGGGGGACTTATAGGACAGGTCGCAGGTTGTTTGCATTGTGCAGTTGAAACATGCGACCAACTTCTTATATGGGATCTCGACGACTATGATCGAAACCAATGGAGATTGAAACACACAATCATCCTTCAAGATATACTATAGAAAGTTGAAAATACGTTGCCGCGATGTTTCCAGATTTCTACGTTTCATCTAGATCTGCATGTAATTTTTGTTCGTTCAGACCAAAAGATTTTTGCCATCACTAGACAAGTTCTAACAATGTAGGATCGTGCACTTTGAAGGGGGATAAAGCATTTTATTTTTACGCATACTCATCTTCGTAATGTGAAAATTTTAACTTGTGGAAGCCATTTTCATATGTCAAATTCTTTAACTTTCTTGCAATAAATGGCTCTCATCAAATGTTCGGTAATTCGTATATTTATAGCATTGTAGTCTGCCTGTACCTGGAAAAAAATACCTTCTATTCAACAAGATTGGTTCGGTAGAAAGTGACGCATTTGAGCAAAAACAAAATAGAATTAAGGGACTCATATATAAAAAAGAAATTTTAAAAGAATACGAGGGGCTCGATTGGTTGTCTCTGAGCTCGAAATGCACAACAAAATAAGAGCAAGTAAGATATTTAATTTTTTTTTTTAATCTCGATGAACATATTCCAATGGAACAGCAACTAAATCTTTTCATTTTCTTCCCATATGATAATACATTCATATAATAAACAATGGATTTAAACTAGGCCCATCCTGCCCTGTACAGCTTTTAGTTAGAGTTGCCCTGCGATGAACAAAACAAAGTCGGAATAAGGTTAGTTTGCACTTAAATACCTCAATTTTTTTTACAACACGTAATATTTTGAAGTTTTTAAATCTGTACTTAAATATTTTTAGTAATGCAAATGCTAGAAATCTCATGGTTACACTTAAATATCTCACTTGTTTTTTATAATACTTATATACTCTAAAGTTTTTAAATCCGTACTTAAATATTCTTAATAATTTCCTGTTGAAAATTGTCATGCGAACTCACATGCTAATTTTAAAAAAATTTAACTATTAATTTTGCTAGATTTTTATTATATTCTAAAAAGTGTAGATGCCTAAATTGATCACCGAACCTCATTATGTCTTTATTTTAGATTTGACGATGGAACTTACCCTCCATCCTTCGGAACTCTGTGATTATGTGTATCATTATGTGTAATTGTTTTCTGTATTTTTATTCTTTTTCCGATCGATCCTTGATTAAACTTCCGCCGCAAACAAACGCGAGCGTCGCCGTCACCGTCCAAATCATCTATCGCCCATTCCTACGTGACGAACCACCTCTTTATTCAATGCCTTGAAGCGCCTGTAGGAAAGTTGATAAAGATATCTCGTCTCCAAGTTCCCAGATGCCGCTTGATTCGAGGAGTCACGGCGGTGCCAATAATTTATTGGGCCGAAAACTTTACAAACTAACCAGTTAACCACTCACATGTGAGAAATTTTTTTTTAACGGAACCCGACCCAATCAAAAGTCTTATCTGTAGAAAAAGATGAAAAAAGGTCCATCTACCTTTATATGCCCTAAGTTTTTTCCCCCCGCCTTTTCTTTTCTTCTTCTTCATGTTTTTTTCCTTTTTTTTTCTCTCTGATATTTATATATCTATCTACAAACTGAATATTACATACGTGATGATGACAAGCAGGCAACAAGCTGCGCCGCTAATTCTTTTTGAATTGTAAAATCTAACCTGCGAAACACGTACTCAGTTGATCTTGCTGTCGCGACATTTCTATTCATGAATTTCTGTACCATCCTGAGGAACTCCACCGCATCAGCTGCAAGGAAACCAAACGTATCGAGCGCGAACGGGATGAAACTGTGGTGGTTGTCCTTGCAAGCTTGATCATGTTTGCCTACATTTGTCTCTGCCGCCTTATCAGCTGCTTGCCCAACCGTGAACACTCCATTACCAAACCCTACCAACGGAGACACCCCGTGAGATCAACACAAGTGTGCTTCCCCCCGCTCCAACTGTAGACAAGAACGTCTGCCGACCTTATAGTAGATCTAGCCTCTCCAGGAGGAGTGAAGAAGTTGATCAGCGCTTCCTTCTTGGATGGGATCCCTGCTCTTTGGAGGATATCATACAAGACATCTCTGACTAAGTCGTGCATGTACTTGAACCCCGGCTGTTTCTGACAGTGGATGACATGCTCTCCAAAAGCATCCATCTGCGTCCTACGACGAACTGGGCACATTGTCCCCTCCACGAACAAAAGCATCCATCTGACTGCTTTTATTTTTATTTTTTTTGGTTTAGGGGTATTAAAAAAATCGGAAGTTCACCTAAGTTGAGATATTCATTGCAAAGCATATGTCAGTAATTTTGTAGCATTATAACGATTATGGGGTGGTAGCTCATTTTGTGAAATAAACTATTTAGAGATAATCATGTTATGAGACCCACCCTAAAAATCACATCAAAAGATGTGGATCTAACAGTTTATTTAGCAAAATGTGCCGCTAGCACATACCCATTAATCCTAATAACTATTTGAATTATTTACAAGTATTTTAACTACTGTGTTGCTTTTTATCATTTTTACTATTTTGTGGATTGGTTTGTGGTAATGTTAAAATAATAGAAAATTTATAGTACACTTATCTTTCTTTATTAATATAGAAGAAAAAGACACAATAAAGTAACCCAAAAAAGATTACACCATACTTCAAGGGAAAAAAAAAGAGGCCTCTCTTAATGCCATAAACGGATCGGGTTCCTCTCCAACTCCAACCCGAGGCCACGAACCCCAATCTCCAAATCCGCTATCGCTATCAATAAATCCACAGCCTGAAGCGGATCCAAAATCCCCAACAAAGCCCTCAACGTCTTCATCCTCAACCCATCCGCTTCCTCCGAAATTCTCTTGATCTCCTCCAATCTCGAATCCAGATCCGAATCCGACGGCAGAAACGGGTCGGTCACGCTCTCCTTAACCCGACCCATTTCCTCGTCGATCACCACCTCATCCTTTATCGTCCTCCTCTGCAGATCATCAATTTTCTCCAGTTGGGCCGGGCTTATATCGCCGATATCTCCAGAGTGGGCCCCATTTAAGAGATCGCTTAACTGGGCCTCGAATCTGTGGCCCGACTCGGTGTAGAGAAGTTGGATTAGGATATTAGGCCGGAGGCCCGATAACCAGTAAACGGCCCTCTCCAGATTTGTGGCCGAAGGATTGTTGAAGGCTTCAACCGGGCCGAATTTTGCGAAACGGGTTTGCGCCCGATAGTGGGCTTCGTAGCGGTCGAGAGCGTGATCGACCAGGGAGCGGAGTTTTGTGCGGTCTGGTTCACGGCGGAACCGGATAAGCTCGCTGCGGAGAGAGGCTTGGGCTTGGATCCAAGATTTAGGATCCATTGGAACTCGGATCCGAACCCGATTGAGGGAGAGGAGATGGAAAATGAAGGATTTTTTTTTTTTTTTTGGGGGGGGGGGTTTGATTGCTATTTATAGTTGTGGTTGTGGTTCCCGCTGTAATGAGCGTGATGTAAGGTTGGGCTCGGATATATCTTGTAGTTCAAGGTACCGGGTTATCGGGTTAAGTTATCGCCAGGTGGGGGTCCAATAAGGAGGGGAGGCGTGGAGGGAGGTGAGTATGTACAGTTGTTTTTGTTTTGTTCGGGAGTTGGCACTTGTATCATTTGGATGTATTCTTATTGCCCACGTGCCTTTGTAATTAGGGTTCAAACTGGTAGAGATCTAATACGGTATTTATTACTGAGCTTTTATCTGTTTACTGATTACTGATTACGCGTACAAACGTACAGATACAGTTCAATATAAGGAAATTTATCTCCCTGTTGGCCAAATATCAAATATAAATATGAGCCAGGTGGTGAAAAAATAGAGCATATGCGAAATCGATATAGACTCAAAAGTATACGTGCTGTTTAATGATAGAATGTGTTTAAATAAATAAAACATAACTTTCCCAGATCATGGTCTATTACTTTCAGAGAATAGTTTGATTTTTCGATCACGAACGTAGATCCTTTTTTTTTTATGGGTTTCCCCATGAGGTATACCCAAGAGTTTCGGATGGGATTAATCCCTCGCTTGCCTATGAGTTTTTTTACCTATTGGCCGATTCCACCACAGGAGTTTTTTCCCTATGGATCGTCCCCTGACAGGAGCTCAGCAGGGATATAATTATCGCTGCGTCAACCCTGCGGGTCTACGAGCATTGACTTTAGATTCACTTATTTAAGCTAAACAGTTCTCAAGTTAACACGAGTATTCGGATATTGAGCTTCTAATCAAATATTTTACCTACGTCTGCATTTTCATTTCTAGAATAATGTGTCGATATTTTTTTATAGTAAAAAAAAGAGGGTGAGAGGTCTTGTTCATATATAATATATATATATATAATATATATAATATATATATATATATATATATATATATATATAGAAAATGTGAGAAACTTGGTACAAGTACTTGGTAGTGATGTGGTTTCATCTTGTCCCTACATCACACATTGAAGTTAGAAGCCTCAACCACCCTTCCCCAACTCCAATGTAGATGTAAGGGCAAGATGAAACCCACATCAACTATCAGTAGCTTGGTACCATTTCTCCATTTTTTCTCATATATATATATATATATATTATATTATAATATATATATATATATATGAGGAAAATGGGTATGCTGGTACCAAGCATACCAATCTCCTTAGTAGTGTAGGTGGATCTTTGTGAGCCGTTTTGATTTGATCTAAAGTGGTAGAGGGAAATTTGCAAAAAAGCCCATCTTTGAGCCTTAATAATGTGGTACAGCTCACTCTTCTCTTCCCCGACAAAATCAAGCTATCTCAGAACGCCCTCCCCTCAATCTCAGTCTCTCTCCCTCCTCCCCTCTCTCAATCTCACTCCTCCGCCGGTACCTCCGCGCTCGGACGGCTCTCGTTCTCCGCCTCCGCGTCCCGACTCTCTCCTCCCGGCCGCCGTTCCTCCTCACAGCCTCACTTTCTTCTCTCCCCCCAAAATCACGCTTCTCAGAACGCCCCTCCCCCTCAATCTCAGTCTCTCTCCCTCCCTCCCCTCTCTCAATCTCACTCCTCCGCCGCCGCCGTCGACGGCTCCTCGTTTCTCCGCCTCCCGACTCCTCCTCCGGCCGCCGTTCCTCCTCCACTCGCGCCCGACTCCTCTCCCCGCCGCAGCACGCCCGCGCCCCGAACTCCTGCCATGGGCCGCGCGCTCCTCTGCCGCGCGCCCCGACTCCTCCTCCGCCCGGAATCCTCCATCGGCTGCCGTTCCTCCTCCACCGCGCCCGACTCCTCCTCCGCCGCCGTGCCTGCGCCCCGACTCCTCCATCGGCCACCGCTCCTCTACCGCCGCGCCCGACTCCTCCTCCGTCCCGACTCCTCCTTCCGCCGCCGCTCCTCCATCGGCCGCCCGTGGACGACTCCTGAGGTTTATTAATGTTTATTAAGTCAAAACTGCTAATCTTTCTGATACTTATCTAACACTTCTTTCCTGAGGTCTTCTGCTCTATACATTGCAAGCTAATACTTTTTTCTTTAATTACAGTCTGATGGCAATGGGTCAGATGTAGACAAGGACAAGGATGATGGCCGATCAAAGGCCAACAAGGTAATATTAGGTGAAGTAAACTTGTGCTTATTGGAAAAAAATATTCCCTTTCCTGTCTTCAGTATTCTTACTTGCATTCAGGCCAACAAGGAAGAGGATGACAAGATGAGAACAACAACAGCAAATGTTGCAGCCCGAGCTGCTGTTGGGGGGATGATGTACTCTTACTTGCATTCAGTGATCTTCCTTTCTTAAATGGAATAGACCAGGTATACAATTTGGAGGTTTGAGTTTCAGGGGGTAGTAGAAGATTTGGGAGCCCCCCCCCAGCCATATCGCAGTCCAAAGTTGCACGAAATATTTCTCAAAAGGATATAATCGCTGTTTTGGAGAGGGAGCCTCAAATGTCGAAGTCTACTCTAATCTATCGCTTGTATGAGAAATTATCTGGTGACTCTGTTGTGGAAAAATTGTGTCGTATATGAAATGAAAATGGTTTGTTGCAGCTCTGCTGTTTGTATCTTATGTTGTACATATTCATGGATGTTGTATACTGTAAGCTTTCATGACTTATAAGACGCGTAAAGTTCTGAAAACAGTGTATAACCATGGGCTTTTGTTGGATTCATCTATATGGTTTTCTATTCAACCTTTCTAACTTCTTGATTCTAGACAAGTTCGTCATTTTTGGTTTTGTTTGGTTGTGTTTCCATCTTATACTATCATTATGGAAAATATCAGGTTTTTAAGCACCATCCATTGTGGTGTAGTTGTAGTCTCGTAGACAAAATGTTCAAGAGGAATTCTTCTCCTTTTAGTTTCAAACAGTTAAAGTTAGTGAATTATTCTACTATCCCGTGTTTAGACTTTGGAACGAGTTGACAGCAAGTGCTATTTTAGTCAATGGCTGTAATCTGAAACAATTTAACTTGATGCTCAATCTGAAATAGTTGAATAACAGCTTTAGTCCAATGGCAGTTGCTGTAAAGCTCACACCTAACGTATTGGTTACGATGCAAAAAGGAGCCTACGAGCCAAGTGAAGATAGACCCCAAATCTAACATCCATATATTGCCTAAGCCGATGCTTGGGACTCATGTTAAGACTACGTTATCACTTGGATTGGACCTTGGGCATATTATCCACTACCTGAAAGTTTTAGAGAAAGTTTTAGAGGAACATGGGTTCAACCTGGATGAGATCCTGCAGACTCAGCCCTTTGCCTTGATATGGAGTTGCGATTGAGACAACAAGCCTTTTATAGCTCAGAGTGATCCTCTCTCTGCACTCCCTTGCTCTCAGGCAAGCTTTGTCAGCTTTCCCCCTCCTCTCAATTGCTTCGGCTGTTGTATTATTACTTATTGAGTCCGTATCCTCTAGCATAGCTCCAACCTGCAGGTATACCAAATTCGTTGAAGATCGTGCTTTTATCCAATAAGAAAATTTTATAAAATTTGATTGCATATGGTATTTGCCAATGTGGAAATTGGAAATGTGGAGAAATCAAAGCATAATGCAGATTTCATTATGTAGATGACAATTGGATGTTTACATAATGATGATGGCAGTTCACAAGGACTAATTATGTGTAAATCTAAACTATCATTTGGATATAGTTAGCAATAACTGTTTATAAGACATTCTTATTGTAACAAGGATGGATTACATGCTTTTCTATTAGAGGATGTTGTGCTATTTTTGGGATGTCTTCTACTTTGATGGTTCCAAACTGTGTGATATGGTCTTCAAATTCCCTATAAAAATGGTTTTTCCCCCCTATGAGTAATCACATGATTTTGATATTTTGCATGATTAATTTCTGTTGTAGGTTGCTGCTTAGATGGTGTAAAACAGCGTAATATCTTGTTAGTTTTGAAGAACAATACCCAAATGGGGCTTGCATAACTTGAAGAGCGATATCCAAATACCAATCTCCAATGAGACCCATTTAGTTTTTCACTGTTGTATTTATCAAAAAGGGTGAACGTATTTATCAAAAAGGGTGAACGGTACATAATGTTAATACCCTTCAATTATATTATAAAACTTGCTCACTCAAATATGTCTTCTAAGTATCTAACATTTGATAATCTGTTTAGGATTAAGGGATGAAATTGTTCCAAATACCTTGAGAGAGACCGAAAACTCAGCCTCTTGTCTCCGTGTCAGATACCGAGATCTCTCTGACTTCGACAAAGATCCCTTAACTACATTTCCACCTAAGCCTTCGTCATCTTCAAAATAGCTAAATACACCCATCATCCTCTTCCTCTTCCTCATTCTCCTCCTCCTCCGGCAACCATCTCCTCCTCCAATCTCAAGCTGTTCAAGCACAAGAGCAGAAGAAACTGCGTCTTTCGCAGCCTCAGCAGCTGCATTTGCAAGGCTAACAGCTTCGACGATGGCAGCAATAGTAAAAGAATCATCTGAAATTACCAAATTAGAACTTTGCTTAGAAGGAGATTGCGGTATTTGAACTGAAGTTTTTGAAGAGATAGAGTGAGTGAGAGGGAGAGAGAGGGTAGCCAATGATCGGTTAAGAGAACATGAAGGCATGGCTTACTTTTGGTGCAGAAGAGAGATGTTTGCTTAATGTTAGAGGGATATTATCCTTCAGTACTCTCTCCATGGCGCAAAGATATTTTGAAAATGGACAAGGTATTGATTTGTTTTCTTATGAGAGGAGAAGATAAGGCAATTTGGGTGGAGAATTTATGCACCTTTCCTTTTCATTCCATCTTCATATACCCAAAGAAGTCTATGCATGCGTTATGCAGAACTATCATGAAAATCGAGATAATGAAGATAAAATCTTGAATGAAGTAACAAATACATTATGGCCCCCCACCTTGCAAATAACAAGCCTATCTTAAGCTTTTATTGCTGATTAAGACTTGAAATTGGTTGGCATTCACTAATAATGCTTAAACTTTCCAGCTAATGCTCAGAATTGAATATACAATGGAAATAACCACGTAAGCTTACACTGTTACCTCATGTTGAAGATATTCATTTTAGATCGACAAAGTCACCCCAAGTAATAGGGATCCCATCAGAACCATTCCTAGAGGGGTGGGGATGATCTACCAACCCAACTCTCTAGCCACCTATAAATGGTATATAAATCGGAAAATGATAGGGACACACCACCAACCACAACCTTAACCACACTCCCTCTCTCATTCGCTATAGTGCACCGGGCCCCACATGGGATTTTAAAATTTTAAAATCCCATGTGGGGTCCAGTACACTGTAGCGAATGAGAAAGGGAGTGTGGTTGAGGTTGTGGTTGGTGGTATGCCCCTAGTGCCACTCATATAAATCACCCCTTTTCTATTGGGTGTTTTAATAGAATCCTTACTTAAGTGCTTTGATAGAATCCTTATTCAAGCCTCTTTTGACTGTAACACATTGGTCGATATTAGTAACATCCTCAAAACAGGCAACAGAAATTTGCAAGAAAAACAACACCTAATCTACAAAGTGATAGCACGATATCAAGTTTCTCTGAAGCAAAAAAATCATTTTAAACCAAAATTTACTTCATACATCTAATCGTTTCCCTTCATGCACATGATGGTTCTCATCTTGCATATATTCATTTAGATCAACAAAAAAGCTCAGGAGTGAAGAAAAAGGAAATGGAAAAAAAAAGAAACGAGAGAGAGAGAGAGAGAGAGAGAGAGAGAGAGAGAGAGACTTTCTTCACTAATAATAGCTTGATATCACTAGCATCCTCGAGGCAGGCAACATAATTTCAACAACAACACTACCTAATTTACGAACAATACCACATCATCAGCAGTACTAACTTGCTCTCAAGAATTATCATCACATAAAAAACAAAATTAAGTTACATACCTAATCAAAAAACAAAAAGTCTTCTTTAGGAAAGAACTAAAGGGAACAAAAGCTTTTGTTAGTTATGGAAGCCATTTTCTTTTGGGGCTTCGACCTTGACATCGAAGTCGTGATAAGGAACCTCACTCATGGGTCTAGGAATTGGACGGCCTCCGAAATCTTGTGGAAAAAACTCAAAATTTGGACCAAAATTGAATCTCACTTCGCAATTAGGTTGATTGGGCATTGTGTACATTGACGCTGCTGGATAGTACCTTCCACCGGAGATGTCTTTGTACGCAACACCTTGACATACTCCATTCTTGAAGAAAGATATCTCACTCCCTGCATCAGTATTCTTATAGTTTTATTATGCAGGCATCGACAGAAACAAATTGCCGAAAAAACTACCATAAACTTTGCTAAACTACCATGTCTAACAGCAGGATGGATAAAAAACATATTTTGGACAATGTGCCCTTATGTACTTTATGTGTCTTCTACATTTCCCTCTACCCATCTAATATGTTGCAACAATTTCCAATAATTCATGGTATTTTTCTGCAATTTTGATCATGGCTTTTTTTTTCCTAATACAAAGCTTATGGTGATTTTGTGCAAAAAACCAGAGTTCATGGTAGTTTAGCGAAGACTGAGAATTATAAGTTCTGAAACATGTAAGAAAATTTATTTTTATGCATGAATATGAAATTTTCATAAATCTAAAGGGACACTCCACCGTAATTCAACCTTGTTCTTAGAAATTAATGCTCTACCGTGTTGCACAATAAATCCAAGAAAGAGGAGCTTTCTTCAATAGTAAGCTAATTTGAAATATGTATTTAAAATGAAAAAAAAGTCACTTTGAATATTGAAGAAAATAGAGATTAATAAACATTTATAACTTGTAAACATGAAATAATTGACTGCAATCAGCATTAAGAAAGTCTGTATTCAACAGTCATGTAAAACAAATTTATATCATTATATTACATCAAATAGATTATTCCTATGAAAAGCAATATAAATACAGGGCAGCTAACATTTTAATAGACATGTTTGAGAACAAAATTCTTTCATTCCTATTTAAATTATATTACTATCAACAAGGAAATTAGCCATTTATCCAATTAAACTAGTAAAGACAGTTTTCAGGACAATCATAAAATTTAAACCACAACTTATACTACCCAAATTCCCTTCAGTTTTAAATTAAGTATGTCCCTCTTTCCTAACTTTCACGCTCAAATATAATCTCCTTCTCATCCAGGACCTAACCAGATCATGTTGCACATTACGTACCCTATTTCTAAATATCTATTGACTTTCTTCAAACACATTCTGCAGTGATGAACTCATTCTTCTTCTCCCCTCTCCAGCTTTTGCAACATATATATTCTCTCATCAGAGACACAATTTCTGTTTTCTTAGGCACATTATAGTTTTTATTGGCCATATTTTTAAAACCAGATAAAATAATATTATTCCCATGTCATAAAATTACCAATTCATATAACCACAACAGAAGTTATTAATGGCATGCATCACGTGTAGATCCAATGTAACAAGATTATCTATTCTCCTTTTTCTTATAGTAGATCGAACATATGTCAATAGTGTCATCCATGAACTCTAGATTACTACTATTGATATTGTTCAACAATTTTGCTGATAGTAGCACGATTCTTTCGCTTTCTAAGAATTTATCCTGCATGGAGGGTCCGTATTCTAAATTCATATCCCTTCTTGAGTAGGCTGCCTTTGTTTGCAGTAGAATTAGAAAATACCTATAAGAAAACCATTCAGCATCATCTTATTAAAATATATATATATATACTTGTGCGACTAGAACACTTTTTACTATCCAAAAAATACACGTCTAACTTGACTCCCATCTTGAAACAAGCTGTACTTACCAACAAAGAAGGACTTCTGCCTCTAAAGTTCTCAATCTGTTGAGCTATGGTCCAAAAAAAGCACATAGAAATAGCAAATCACTGATTATTAAAGCTCATAACAGTTGAAGTTTCCAAACCTTTGAAGTGCTACTTCCTGGACATGTTTTCCCACACCAATCCTGTTGAGTCTATGCCCATAGCCAGAGCATGTAAGCTCTAACTGATTTAAGCCTACCCAACTTCTAAAATAGACAAATGAAAGCTTGAAAATACATGATACGTTTACACTAAAAAAAGGCTAATATTGATATTTGGCACTAATATTTATCTTATATGTGATCAACAAATGTACAATTCATTACATTCAGTAGTTAATATTCTCTCCTGATTCAATTTCACCAGGTTACGACCCTCTAGAAGAAGTTATGTTTGCAGTACCACTATCACTTCCGCGGAAAGTGAATTTCCCTAGATGCTATTGGGAACTTCACCTACACTGTTACAGTGCTGAAGAAGATTACTGAACATTTAAGAGGATTATACGTATCATAAGAGCTGGTGTTTGTGCTAGTATATTGGCGAGGACATTCTATAATCATCTCTTAATGTTGCACCTTGCATAACTTCGCTAGGATATTGGCGAGGATATTCTTGGACGTTTTGATTGGATACAAGCGATATACACAACTAAAACACAACAAATGGAACCAAACAACTCGACATTACCACAATCAATGCAATAAAGATGAAAAATAAGCATGCCAATCCACATTCCACTAAAATGTAAGAAACAGCAACTCACCGGGCACAACCTTCGGCCCCTCTTCTTCCTTCTTCTCCGTGGAACCCAAACCCCTCCCCGCCTTATACCAATCCAAAAAATGCAGCCTCCTCTCTGGCACAAACTTCCCCCCATCCGGCAGACTTATATAAAACCCAATCACATCCCCCTCCCCATACCCCTCGTCCCCATACCTCTCCCTAAGTGCCCTATGCACCTTGCTCCCCTCCAGATCCCTATACCCATAGCTAAACCCATCATACCCAACCGGCGCTTGAAGGTCCCCGTTCTCCGTCGCCCACCCGAGCCTACAATGCCCGGTGGGCCCGAGATGGGCAATCTTAATTTCGAAGAACCATTCGCCTTCGGCGACCCCACGAGTGGCCCGCACCATGCGGTAGCCCTTGGAGCTTCCCGCGGT